CTCCTCAAAGATTCAGAATGGAGGGGCACATGAAGGCTTTCTGATTGAATTGAATTTTCCTGTAGTTCCCATCTTAGAATTCAATTCTGCAGAGGTTTCGGCAATTTCTGAAGCCTTGAATGGTGCTTCAACGATTGATATCAAGTGGACTACTACAGATCTCCTCCTTGTAATTCCTCCAACCTGCAGTCCCTTTGTTTTCCTTTATCTGCTTTTGGATTAAACTTTACATTAAAGTTTCTTGTTCTTTATTTTTGTGTGCTAATTGCTGACCAAATAAAGGAGTACTAATTGATTTAAATTAGTGGTATGACCTTTTGGCAGGTTGTGCTACCATCTGGAGAACATGTTATGGAACTACAGCCACGGTTTGAGGCCATAAAAAAATGTCCTGGACGTGGCTTAATTGTCTCAGGCATTGCTCCTCTAGAGTCTGGATTTGATTTCATCAGGCGAGTCTTCTTCCCAAAGCAAGGTATCAATGAGGTAACACATAGCCATCCAGGTCTCTGATTTTTTTTCTCTTCTCATCTTTTAAGCACAAATGATAAATGAACTTATTTAGATGTAACACCTTGTGTTTTAAGTTTTAAAATTTGTTGGCATGGACACATCATAAAGACATATTATCTGGTCTGTAGAAGGAAAATTCGTTTATAAATTGCCGAGAATATCTCCAAAATCTGCAAGTATCAAAAGTCTGATAACTGAAACATAGATGCCACTTAAATAACAAAATAAGATATATCAATTCAACTTCAAGATCCAATTCAGTGTTTGGAATTGGGGAATGAATGTGTATGTGTTTTAAACTCAAAAGGGCATCTGAGCCTTGCCTTGATGAACTTTTGATTCAACCCTCCATTGCTTGGCTGTATTATTTTTATTGGTATATATGAAGCAACGGAACAATCTCTCAATAGCCGTCTAAAATCATGTTGCTTCACCCTTTTCAGGATCCTGTTTGTGGGAGTGCACATTGTGCGTTGACACCATATTGGAGCCAAAAGCTAGGGAAGTGTGACTTCATTGCCTATGCGGTGTCCTCTCTCTCTCTCTCTCTCTCTCTCTCACACACACACACACACACACACACACCCCTCCCACAGACCTAGAACTAGAAATCATAGTTGGTATTAACTTATAATTGTTATTTATATTGATTGTGTCATGTACCTTTGCTTAGGCATCACCTAGAGGGGGAATTATAAACATTCATTTGGATGAACAGAACCAGAGAGTGCTTTTGCAAGGAAAAGCTGTCACTGTTATGAAAGGTTGTCTTTTGGTTTAGATATGGGGTTTAATGTCATTATTAATGTATGATTAAACTAAACTAAATCGCAATGATCATTTGGAACAATTACTGGCTTTACTTGTATGTGTTGTTTGGAATGATATCTGGCTCTTTCTTGTATGTGTTGTTTTCTTATTACATGTATTTGCCGTTGGTTAATATATGACATTGCACTTAATGAGATGGGTCTTTCGTTTATACATATTGCATTCACATGTGGACCCTAACAAATTTTGAACTTTGTACATCCACAATTGCTCATATCAATTCTTAAAAATGGAACGGGAAAAGTACAGGGCTTTTGTGTGAATCTAAAGTAACTTTCTTTATTACTAGTCATCGACCAGGCCCATTTAGCCTGTTCTTACGATTTTAATCATTCATATATGGTTTAAAGCCAATTGTCATCCCTCTACTTTAATATTTTATTCGTTCTTGTCCCTCTACTAAGGACTTGTTCGTTGTCGTCCCTCTACTCTACCAAAGAGCCAAAACGTCGTCCCTCTACTTCGCTTTTTATGTTCGTTGTAGTCCCTCCCCTAACACCGTTCATGTTGCCATCACTGCTGACCGTTTAGGACTAAACGGTCAGCAATTAAACCCAT